CTCAAACATCTTTAATAAAATATGTTGGGGATGGGAACCATATCGCTGCTCTTTCAGAGGACCCAGGTTCAATTCCTAGCACCCAGATGGCAACTTCCAACCATCTATAATTCCAGTTCCAGGGGATATGATACCTTCTTCTGGCCTCCGGAGGCACCAGTGCACAGACATAAATGCAGGCAAGACACCCATACACATAAAATAAAATTAAAAATAAAATATGTCCTTTGAAGAATACTCAGTGATCTCTATCTCCATCCACTTATTCAACATTTACTGTGAGCTACAAATCCTGAGTCAAGCAGTGGTGGCACACTCTTTTAATCCCAGCACTTGGAAGGCACAACACACTAATTTTTGAGTCTACGTGTGGTATGTTCCAGGACATCCAGGACTATACAGAGAGAAAACTTGTCTTGAAAAATGAAAAAAAATCCTATTATAACACATGAACAATGCATTTTTTCAGAAGATGGAAGAAAATATGTATTAAGTAAAGTAAGCAAATGACCATAATAATTGGTAAGAGATATGTAATCAAATCAGAGGACAGGAACAGCAAATGCCTGAGGAGACAGAAACTCAATTTTTAATTTGGCTGTAGGATTAAAGTTAGGGTTAGGGTTGAGTAAAAAATTCTTGAACAAGGACTTGACAGTGGTGTATACAGGATCACAAGGCTAATTTAGGGAAGGAAGAATGTCCCAAGTAGATGACCATAAAGAAGACCAAGTTCTGGGGTACAGGAAGGAAGCACATTTAGCTAAAATAGTGTCATTAAGAGAGCAAACTGAAGTCAGAGAAGGAATGGGGTCAAATCCTGAGGGTGTGAGATGGGAAGTTTGGAGGAGAGAAACATGACCCCATGTTCATCTTAATGCAGGAAGGGGAGAGACAGTGGGTGCATGGCTACCCGGTCTTTGTGGTGCAGAGTCACACACTGGGTCCCGCAGCTCCTCCAGAGTGAGCGGTAGTTGCCGATGTACTAGATAAAACGGGGAGGCAGAAGAGTCAGCCATGGCTTTGGGTGTTTGTGTCTTCTCTAACTTCAGCAGCTGGAAGAAGAGATGGGCATTAACCAAGACAGGGCAGAAAGTTGAGAGGGGCATTTCCTGAGTAGAAATTAATTTGGAGCGTTATGTTTTAGCAACTAGGTGTATATTCCTAATAAGCAATGAGTCTGAAGTTCAGAAGGAACATATAAACAGTATTTGGGCGTAGATAAAAGATTGTGCTTTGGAACGTTTCAGTGTGAAGATGCCCTAGAAGGCCGAGGCTTAGCTCAGTAGTAGAACACTTGCCTAGATTAGCTCTGGAAAATAACTAAACGGGCTCTGGAGAGAAGGAAGGGGAGCCAAGGGGGCTGACAGTGAAGACTGGGGGTGGGTGACAGGAGTGGCATTCTGGGAAAGGGTTTCCAGGGCACGGGAGTGGTTCCACTGAACTCAGCATTGATGCCTTACCGAACCTTGGAGGTCAGGCTATTGTGATTGTAGATAAAGGTGGGGGAGGCCATGACTGCAGACTCTGTGCAGAAAAGTCGGAGGAAAGGAATTGGAAGGATCAGGTGTGGACGGTTAATCTGGAGGGATTTGACTGTGAAAGAGAGCCGAGGAAATGGTCCAGAATAGATTTTTTTTTTAATGAAGAAGAGCTAAGAATGGCTCAGGAAAGGGAGTATTTTGATGGAGAAGAACAGACTGTGAGGACACATTCTCAAGTGTGTGGGATCTAATGACAGGGTTGGCCTCAGACACAGGGGCAGCTTTACCCTCTCAAGAGTCAAGGTGAAATTCTGGTCACATTGATAAGCATGGGTGGGGGCAGGCAGATTGCCTCATTTTTCTTAGAGCATCAGGAAGTGAAGCTCTTGGCTCTGTGGTTGGCAGAGAGATTATAAAGCAGTTGTCTAGAAGACGAGATGAACAATCTAGCATGGTCACCTGTAAGTCCCTCGGAGTCTCAGAGGCGGTATCTTCTGGTTGTCTGTACAGCTTCCATTTTTTCCTCTTAATAGCCAATATCCATCAAAATGCCAGTGTGCCATAGGTGTTCCGTAAGTGTTTGATTTCAGCCTTGGAATCATATTACCTTTAAGTCATGTGTAGTTAACCATTCATCACACGTTTTCCTTAGCACCGTATCCATCTATTACATTTGCCAGTGGTGGCTACTTGTGTCGCATTTAGAGTCAGGATGAGACAGAGTTACAGGAGTGTGAGAAGTAGCCATTACCATCCTCAGATAAGAACCTTTTAGAAGGTTCCACGGTTTGCTTGCAGTTTGTCAGCGACTCTAGGGGCTCTTGCCTGCACCAACAAGGCCCATCCAGCAGGGGGCAGTCCTGCATGCATAAGCAGGCTTACCCCACCCTCAGGCTCTGGAACACTGTGAAGGTCTTGCTGCTCCCAGGCTTTCACCCTCCAACCCCAATGCCTGATCCTTTAAGAGGCATGCTTAAAGCAGTGGTGCTCTTGCCGTGATTTCCTCCCGGGTGGCATTGGGCATCATATGGAGGTATTTTGAATCATCATAAATGTGGGGTCAAGGCAAAACATGGCTCCTAAACACCCACAAATGGATCAAGCAATCACTATACTCTACACGGAAATATCTACTCCAAAATGACAACAAGTGCATTGAGACGTTAGATAATCCTCTCTTGGTGAACATCTGTAAACAACTCAGTAAAGCTGATACAGAGGAACAAATAAAGAGGTAGCTTCAGGAGATAGAGAGATGGCTCCGTGGGTAAAAGCACTTGCTGTGTGACTTTTCAATCTGCATTTGGATCCCTGGAATCTACATAAAAGCTGGACATGGTAGTGCAAATCTCTATAATCCCAACATGCTATAGGAAAAAGGAGGAGACAGATGAAGCTCCTGAAGTTTGTGAGCCAGTTAATCTGGTTTATTCTGCAGTAAAGAGTCCGTATCAAACAAGATGGAAAGGCAAGGACCAAAACCTGAAGGTTGTCCTCTGACTACCACATGTATGGTGTGGCATGTGGGCCCCCCACACACACACATTAGCACATCCCATTGCCTGCACACATGGCACATGGGTTGAGTAGGGAAGATTCAGCACTTCAACCCATAGAAATCCGTCAAAAATAGCCTCTGGGTTTTGCTTCTTTGGAGGATGTCAAAGTCTTTGAGGACCAAGTGGATCTTGATTGACCACTTCAGAGGCTCCGCTTGCTGACTATTGTCACCAGCGTGACAAGCTAGGAAATGTGCAGCCATAGCCATGGAGGGCAGCCAAGAGGGCAGATTGATCTCTCAACATCTATACCGGCCTCTGTCTGTGTGAGAAAAGAGATGCCACCAACACTGTTTGTAAATATTCTCCACCTCCAAAACGTAATTGTAACATGAATTCTAATTGTTTACTTAATAAGAAGAACCCAGAGTCAGATATAGGGATTCATGCTGAAGATCAGAGAAGCAGAGTGGCCAGTCACTAGAGTTCTTATGTACACCAATGCTCAGACCAAAAAAGGTGGTCCTGTCCTCAGACTGTGTCCTGTGCATCCTCAGACTGCTCTGAGCTCCTGTCTCCTCCCGCCTTATATTCCTCTCTCCACCCAGCCATATCACTCCTGTCTCCACCTCCCCAATGCTGGGATTAAAGGCATGGGATCCTAAGTGTTGGGATCACCTTTGTGTGAGCTTTGTTTCTTTTAGACTGGGTCAATTTTGTGTAGCCCAGGGTGGTCTTGATCTAACAGAGATCCCTCTGGCTCTGTCTCCTGAGTCCTAAGATTCAAGGTGTGTGCCACCACTGCCTGGCCTCTAGTGGCTTAGTTCTGCACTCTGATCTTCAGGCAAGTTTTATTTGTTCAAACACAAACAAAATATCACCAGACATAATTTGCTGTCGGGACTCATGGTCTTGCAAAAGGAACTGCCTGCTTGTTCTCAGGCCCTGTGTACTTCAGATGGTTCAGAGTGTTCTTCTCAAAGCCTGCTGGCCTGATTTATCTAAAGGGCATTGTCATCACGAGGGGCCACTTGCTTGCGCTTGGGAATGCTTTTCCGAAGCGCAGCAGCTTTGGAAGAACACAGGCAGATTTCTGAATATATGCCTCACCTGAAATACATCTCCTTCCAAGCCAAAACGGGTTCAGCATTCAGTAGACCAATGTTGCCGTCTGTCTGTAAAGTGAGCTACCCAACTACCTCCCACGATGGGAATCTTGTTCGGCAGAACTTACACAGGAAGGAAAGAGGATCAGCCTTCATTGGTGGAATCTGTTTTGCTTAACACGTGATTATCTTCATCCTTTCCCTTTGTTCATGAACTCTACTGTGAATGTCTAAAGGCGAATGAATGGATGAACTGAATGTCCATGTATAGCTGTGACAAGAAATATAACACATGTTCAAATCATAGGCAAGTTGTAGGTTTCACCAAACCGCAAAGTGTCTGCTCTCTCCTTACAGTAGATTATTTGATGAGCTCGTAAGAAAACATATGGAAGTCAAGAATGGCCACAGAGCTGGGAGCTGGTTTCCCCGCTATCTACAGAGCTAAGCCAAAGGATTCTTTAGGTTTGGGAGCAAGGGGAGTGGAGCACACAGCAGTGGAACATTACTAATACACCCTTACTGACCTTAATTTAATGCAGTATTGTGCTGCTGAAATGCAAGATAACGATACTACGGTAACAACAAAGATAATGGTTATTGTTGTCATCCATGGAGGAATAACGTCTGTGGCCCATGCTTTATTTCAAACGCCTAGATTGTATTACTCCATGCTCAAACTACCTACTATGTCAGCCGTCTTACAAATTCCCTACAGTCACTGCTGATGTTGCTGTTCGTAGTCTTCAAAGTCTCAAATCTTAGTGTCTGCTGTATGAATTTAAATTTTGCGTTGACGTCTGTGTTTTGCACAGTGTCAAAGACCAAGCGTGAAGAGACGTGGCCTGTTGAACCATCTTCCAAGGTGAGGGAAATACTGGTGTGAAGCATGTTTGTGTTTTCAATTGCAGGCACTGCCCAGGTGATGGAAGGGGGCCAAGTGGAATACAAGCCTCTTTCGGGCATTCGGTTTATGTGGTGGTACCATTTGATCGGCCTCGTCTGGACCAGCGAGTTCGTCCTTGCATGCCAGCGGATGACTACAGCAGGAGCAGTGACTGCTTGCTACTTCAACAGGTGGGTCCAGCCCTGACCCCAGGGATGTGCCTGTGTGTCTGGGCTGTCTACGCATCTCTGAAGATATTTGGGAGTTTTCACTCAACTCTTGGAAAGAGAGTAACAAGAATTAGAAAAGCAAACCAACAAAAAGACGGAGCTAAAATTCGGCCTGAAAGCTCATTTATGGTTCAGAAGAAGCAGTCGGTCTTAAATCTCATGCATTTCCAGGCTCTTTTGCTTAAACTAGAAATGTAGCAAGAAAGAAACATCGAAGTCATCTTCTTGCCTAGAATTAACAAATACCTAAAAGAAAGGGTTATAGTCTCCTGTGAATGCCCATTCTTCGCTGACTTCAGACATTAAACATCATGGATCTATTTTAAATACACTTCAGTAGCTATATCAGCTGTTTTATCTCTGTGAAGTCAGAAGAATATTTACTTGGAAAATAATTTTATACCCTAGAAGAACTGTAAACTGTAACTCATTTCCTTAGAGTTAGGTACTAGTGAATTAATTCCTTCCTTCTGTATCGATAGCCCATTTCCTTATGACACTAACTGAGGACTACAGCTCCTCCCCACTCCCACACCACCCCGACTCCCATATACCTGAGCTCTTTGCATCTCTTGTGTGTAACTCTCCAGGGATTGTAGCCAGAAGAGCAGGCTCAGGACAATGACAGGGTTGGAGCTGGAAGAGGAAGTTGACTCCTGGTAGAGCCGACTCTCTTCTAGTCTCCCGGACCAAATGAGTAGATAAACATGACCTTTCTGGGGGTAAGAAAGCCAAGCAGCCATGATTCATGCCATTGAACAGTTGCCCCTGGACAACAAAGAGCACTGTGGGCTTTTAATACAGTGGTACCCTTTGGGAACCTCATCATCAGGGATTCTGGAGGACTCACAAAGGGGCCTCTGCCCTTGGTTGTCGTTGAGAGCTTTGCAGCAGCTGGAGGTGGGAGTTGCTTGCTCTCCATCAGGGAACACATATCTGCCCAGCCAAATTGGCCCGCAGGTAATATGTTATCTTAGCATAACCAGACCAAAGCATTTTCAGCAAAGGCTCGGATGAGGAGGTTCCGTGGCTCGTGGCATTCATCCCAGCCCTTCATTCTGTCCACACTCATTACTAAAAAGCTACAAAGGCGTCCATACACCAACTGTGGGAAATAGACAAGCAATGACAGCTGATGAGAGCCATCAGCCTCGACATGCGTGCCTTTGGATGCTCACGTCAAAACATAAAATTCAGCCGGATGATGAAAGCTGAAGACAGGATCTGCCACAGCGGGAAAAGCTAGAAAGGTCGGCTTGCGAGTGTTAGCTGTGTGCAGACATGCAAGGAAGATCTGGCTGGCCACAGAAGCCAGAGGCAGGAATTCAAGTATAAACTGTGCTTCTAGGCCGGCCAGATGGCTCAGCAGGTGAAAGTCCTTGCCATGAAGGCCTGCTGACCTCAGTTTGATCCCCAGATCCCACGCTAGGAAGAGACACCTGACTTCCAGGTGCTGCCCTCCACCTTTCACCAGGGCATTCCCGTGCCCTCCTGTTTACACACACACACACACACACACACACACACACACACACACATACACAGCATTTACATAGACACACAATAATAAATACAAATTTAAAAACAAACAAATAAAAAATAATATGTGCTTCCAAAGATGCTAAGTCTTCAACCTCTCAATATTTCCTCCGTATGAAGAGGCTCCGTATGGGCCTTTGCTACCCATGGCTATAACCCAGAGAGGGTCTGTTCATGGGGTATTGGGCACAGCTGAGGCTGGGGCAAAGCCATGCGCTGAAGCAGGGAGAACAGGTGGAAGGCTAAGCATTGATTGGTGAGGACCCCGTCACCATCCCACCCCACGTCCCATGGCTCAGTTCCCAGGATGCTGACAGCCAGGCTGGTCCTCCAAAGAGAGGCAGGGTTGGAGAAGCTATCTAATCCAAATCAGGTGCTGTATGATCCCCGAGTGAGATTCCCTTCCAGACGCCTATGCCAACAGTGAGGCTCCACAGGCCACAAGCAGTCTCTCTCGCACAGAGCATCCAAGTGTGTCTGACCTGTTCATATTGTGCATCCAAAGAAAGTGAGAGAGATTAGAGACCCAACCAAAGGAGCTGAGAGGCAGCAGACACAACGCCAGCTGCAGAGGAAGCTGGCGACAGTGAAGGGGAGCGCCTATAATCCTATCCCAGAGAACAAAGAAATTCTGAACTCATTGTCTAAGACTCGGCGCAGCAGAATGGGTATGAAGAGAATGAGAAAGACCCTTTAATAATCAGCTGCTTCAAAAGTCGAAATTGTCTGATGAATGCTTAAACCGTGACACTGAAGAACGTTTCCAGAAAGTTGAACAAAAAGACAAACGGGAAGACGGGAGGAAGGATAAAATGTCAGCGCTGTTTAGGAAATGCATCCTGGGACTGATACAGTTTTTACAAAGAGCAAACAAAAAAATTTTTGAGGCACGGTCTCATGTAGCCCAAGCATCCAATTTGCTGTGCTGCTGAGGGTTGCCATGATCTCCGGATCCTCTTTCCTCCTCCTCCGAAGGGCTGAGATTTTCAGGCATACACTACCACTCAGTAGTGCATGGTACCACACTAACTGGTCGCGTGTGCCAGGTGTGGTGGTGTACTCCTTTAATCCCAGCACTCAGGATCAGAGGCAGGCAAATCTCTTAGTTCAAGGCCAGCCTGGTCTACAGAGCAAATTCCAGGACAGCCAGAGCTACACAGAGAAAACAACAACTACAACAAAAATTAAAGAATGAAATTTTCAAGGAAACTTCATGAGAGCTGAGGGCAAGTTAGATGACTCCAGAAACTTCTCAAAAGAAAGAAAGAAAAAAAAAGACCCAACCGGGCTTGAGCATCAGAACAAATCTGATGTTCTGACATTCAGCAGCAACTCTGAACCCAGGAAACAGCAGGGCAGAACTGTCCAAATGTGAGGGCTCCCAGGTCCCTGGCCGAGAGTTCTGTACCCATTCCCACCATCGATTGATCAAAGGTCAGAAAATCCCCCAAGATTTCCGGGGCACATCCTTGCTAGGAAGGACATTTCCACTGAATGCCATGAGTAAGCTAGGGAGGATAAGGAATTTCAGGATGTGAGCAGCCTGTGGAAAGAAGAGGGGGCAGCTCCCGGGAAGGAAGCTGTGTTGCAAGTGTTAAAACAAGAAGTCAAGTCTAAGACTAAGTGGGAGACCAGTGACCTGCAAGAAAGAGGCTGTCTCCAAGCAAAGACAGAACGGAGAGAGGAACGGATGTGCTTGAACACGTGGAGATTTATGCTTTGGCTCAGTGTTGAGAGAAGCCCAAGGGAAACGGGGCAAATAGAAAATTGTGGTACAAGTACGAATGCCTGGGAAACCCTAGGGTACAGACAAGAAATATAGTTGGACAGGACTACTTGGATCAGTTGAGAATATTCTTCACAGTACATTTATGTTCTTTATGTACTGGTGATGTGACGCTAAACATTAACTAAAAAGTTAGCGTGACTGAGAAAGATTGGGAAGATGAGGGCCTAGAGCGGGGAGGTGAAGATGCACAGGAGAAAGCAGCCTGAATCTTCTGCATGGGCCATCAGTAGGCAACACCCGACAATACCCGAAGCGGAGATGGTAGCACACTGCCTCAATACCAGAGGAAAAAAACAGACAGTATGCCACAGGAAAAAAACAAGTCATAAGAACCTACAGTTTTAAAGCCTGGGGGAACATCCCAGAAGAAACAGCCAAACTAGCATCTCTAGAGAGGGAGAATTTAGGACAGGTGAAGCGAACTGCTGTTTCCCTTAGGCCTACCAGCACTAATACGTGAGGGAACCGAAGGCACAGCTCAGTGCTTTCAAGCGTTTGCTGCTCCGGCAGAGGACCCAGCTTTGGTTCCTCAAACTCACATTGAGAAGCTTGCAACAGCTTGCTACCCCAACTCCAGAGAGCCAGCCCCTCTTTTGTTCTCCAGTAGGCTACATGCGTGTGGCAGGCATACGTAGACATGTGCATGAATTAGAGATAAAAATCTAAAATAAAATAATGATTTATTTTTAGTACTACAGTTAACTATTAAAGTGTCTTCATGGCCGGGTGGTGGTGCCACACACCTTTAATCCCAGCACTTGGGAGGCAGAGGCAGGCGGATCTCTGTGAGTTTGAGGCCAGCCTGGTCTACCAGAGCAAGTTCCAGGACAGGCTCCAAAGCTATAGAGAAACCCTGTCTCGAAAAACCAAAAAGAGAGAGAGAGCCTTCTCAGCCGGACATGGTGGCATACTCAGAAAGCGGAGGCAGGAGGATTACCACATCTGAGGCGAACCTGGTTTACATAAGTTCTAGGCCAACATGGACGACGTAGAGAAAGCCTGTTTCGAAACAGAAAGGACTTAGCTTTGGGCTGCCTGCTTCACCGTGAAACCGCCAGGTTTTCCTCATCTGCAGTTTACAGTTCTTCCAGGCCTTATCTTGACTGACGTGATCGCTCGCATTGACTGTTGTCATTTTTTAAGCTTCTAGAAGCCTGAAGAGTTTATAAGGAGACCGCGATGTACCAACCTTAAAGCTCGCCTTTAAAGCCTGCTTTGCGGAGCTGTAGAAATGGCTCAGCCGCTAAGAGCACTTGGTACGCTTGCAGAGGACCCAGGCTTGGGTCCCAGCACCTACACAGCAGTTCGCCATTGTGACTCCAGTTCCAGGGGATCCTATGAGCTCTTCTGGCCTCTGAGCATACATTTGATACACATACAGACATGCAGGCAAACACTCATGCAGAAGATAAAAATAAATATATCTTTAAGATACAAACGAACATTCACTTGAAGAGGGCATCTACAGAAACTCTCTTTGGGAAGCCAAGAACACGGGCCTGGAATCTCAGCGCTGGGGAGGGTCAGGAATTTAAAGGTCACCCTTGAAAAGGAATGAGCTTGAGGCTACGTAGGAGGCTAACCTGAGCACAGGAGACCCTGTCTCAGCAAAGGCAGTGGGTGGGTGGAGGGGGAGTGATGGAGATGGCCCAGCTGATAAAGTGCTTGCTAGGCCAGCACGAGGACCCGAGGTAGAGCCCCAGAACTCACGTAAAAAAGCCAGACATGGTATGCCACATTTGTTTGAAATTTTCAAGTTGTTTACATTTGTTGGGGGGGGGCACACGTGCACACGTGAGTACGAAGGCCAGTTGACAATTTGCTGTACTTTTCTTCTTTCACTGTGGGTTTTAAGGGTGGAACGCAGGTCATCAGCTTGGCTGTAAGCACCTTTGCCCACTGACCTTCTCTCTAGTCCTGTGGAGTAGACTAGTATCCCCAGTGCTAGGGAGGTACAGATAGGCAGATTCTTCCTTGACTTGATGGCCAACCAGCCAAGCCGCTGATTGTCCTGAGTCAGAAAACAAGGTTTGGAAGACACCAAAGAAACAACATCCACCCCTGTCACCTCAGGTTGACCTCTGGATTCCACGTGTAGGAGCACACACACACACACACACACACACACACACACGCACACATACACATATGCTCACACATGCTCGCGTGCGCACACACACCTGTAATAAAGACGGTTTGTATTTCTTGTGTAATTGGACGGATGACCTTTACCGACACCTCACAGCCTCTCATTCCATCCTGCAGGTTTTACTAGAGACGTACAAAGGGATGAGGCCTCTGCAGGGGCCACACTGGTTCCCACTCACTATCACTACCACACAACAAATCACTAAGGATTTGTTGGGAGCCAAGCGCCCCAGGCAGCCCAGACTTTTTTCAGGGACTGAAGCACAAAATTGGTTTTGCATAACGTTGGAGGAGTTTCTAGAGAGTGGCAGGCTGAATCGAACTGTTGTTCTTATGGCCCTGACATTGCTGGTGTGGCTGGAAAACCTTGTGTGTACCTTGACTTAAAGGCATTCTCAATCACCGGGCGGGCGGTGGTGTCACCGTCTTCAATCCCGGCACTCAGGAGGCAAAGGCAGGAGGATATCTGTGAGTTCAAGGCCAGTCTGATTTACAGAGCTAGTTCCAGGACAGGGTCTGAAAGCTACAGAGAAACCCTGTCTTGAAAAAACGACAACAAAATTCCCCCTGACTCCTATTTAAGTTATCACTGGTTACCCAGCATGCCTAGCACCACAATGTCGGTTCTCAAACCATGGTTAGGTACAGAGCTTTTTAGTATTATTTTCAGTTTCCTGGGGAAACAATCAGATCTGCTCCCTAAAGGTAGGCTGTGCTGGCTGTGAGGGAGCAGAGCTGACGGCCCTAGCCACTTGTACAGCAGGAGGAATGGCAGGCAGATTGATGTCCCAGGTGACCGTAGGAAGGGACGGTGACTTCAGTGACACTCTCTACTGGGTCCTTCTTTTGCAGGACGGTCTCTGGTTTGAAAGCAGGTATCGAGTGACTCTTGGCTTGGGTTAAAAGGGCCTTTTTAAGTTCCCTCTCCCATCATGTGATAACCTAGCTTCTGGAGCCTCCACATCTTCCTCCAGCCAAGCCCTGCAGAGCCAAGCATTGTGACTTGGGAGGGAGGCGGGGCAGGCACTCCTCTGTCCCAAATGGTAGTGAAACCGGCTCAGAAATCTGATGCCTAAACCAGACTTCAGTACCTGGAGGACCAGATCTCGAGGCCCTTTCACAATGACCTGTGAGTCATTTCTTTCCCAACCAGATGGGAAGCAGGTGTTCCCTCTGCATCTCTGTCTTAAGCTGTAGAGTAAGTTCTAAGGCTTATAAATCTCAATGGAAAAGTAAACATCCTTCTTTTTTGCGGGGGGGGGGTAAAAAAAAAGGAGTAGGTGAGGAAAATGTGTCAGAATTTCCTGGCCTGGTCTACTCTTCCAGTATCGATCAAAATGACAAAATGCATTCCCATCTGCGAAAGCCCAGGTCCATCCTCAAATACCAAGCTCCACCCCCTGGATCTGCTGGAGGCTCTCCTAGGCTGGCTCCTGGCTTCAGATTCACCGTACAGGGGAGGATGACAATGAACTTTTAGTCCTCTTGCCTCTACCTCCTCTTGAGTGCGGGAATTATAGACAGCACCACCCCTCGGGGCTCACACAGCACTGGGGATTGACCCTGCCGTGTTGCGTTTGCTAGACAAGCACAGGTGGGCCGCGCTGACACACACAGCCCCCTTGGGTAGACAGCCAGGCTATAGTTCTGCCTCTGCCTTGCGTCCATGTTCCCTTTCTCTTCCTGGATGATTTAAGTAAGAAGAAAACGCAACAGTTGCCAACTCTTGAGACCTTGCTGGCCGTGGGCCTCCTCCTCCCTTGGATCCCAGGCCATTGTCAAAACTTTAATTCATAGTGACTTAGCAGGCCAAGCCAGTCATAGAGGAATCTTTTCTAAAGAAAGCAAGCCTCGTTTGGAGCCCCGTGAAGTTGTTTCTGGGAAAGTCGGCCTCCTTTTCTGGAATGGCATCCTTGAGAACTCAGGGTCAATCAGAAGGTCATCAGAAGGGTGACATCAGCTCTCCTTTCTTTCAGTTTTCAGGGTTGAGGGAGAGGGAGGACCATTCCTGTTCTGGTCGCTCTTTCTCTCTATGAAGCTGACTTGCACACATTCTTGGGAGCTGTGTCATTACAAGTCCAGTAATTGATTCACACTGAGGTGACCTTTAGGGAACACAGAAGAAATCAGCGAGTTTAGAGAGCCCAAAACTGTGCAGAAGCTAAAAGGCTCAATGCTGTTACAGCTTCCCTTCCAATCAAAGCTCTGGGTTACCTTTGCTGGCCCTGGTCCTGATCATGTGACTTGAGGATAGCTCTAATCACCAGGTTAATACAGGCAAAAAAAAAAAAAAAAAAAAAAAAAAAAATTACACACGTCTCCCTGCCAGTTTAACGGTGAATACTGTGAAGGGCTCAATCTATTGCAAATGAAAACAGTATCAGTAGGCAACTGGAAGGGTGGGTGGAAGGGCTGAGAACAGAAGAAAGAAGGGTGTGTATTTTGGCTCGTTAATATTTTTTTCTGTTTTGCATTTGTTTACACATGAATGCCACCAAAAAATGTGAACTAGCCCGAGATATAAAGTAACCTTGGCTACCCAGGAGGATAAAAATCTTGCCAAGTGCTTACGGCATAATGCCAGCGAGATCTGAACCAGAGACAAGTTTCTTGTTGCTTTTCTAATAATGAGTTTTAAATGTTCTTTTCCCCTGTTCCCAGGAATCAAAACGACCCTCCTGCCCACCCAATCCTTTCGTCTCTCTCTGTACTTTTCTGCTACCATCAAGGAACTGTGGCGAAAGGGTCGTTTTTAATCACTGTGACAAGGATCCCGAGAGTCATTCTCATGCACGTTTATAATACTCTGAAAGATCCGGTAAGACAACACCCTAAAGCTGACAGGTTAAGGACTGGAAACTCAAGGTTCCGTGCTGGCCCCATACAAGGGCTGGGACCCCGCTCCCCAAGTCTGCTTTGTGTCCGGCTGAGAAAGGAGTCGTTCCAGTTCCGTGTTAGCCGGAATCCTTCTAATTAAAATGCGGAGCAAATGGTTGAGTTCTGATGGTGCAGTTTCAGCTAGCGTTTGTGCCTCTTTCTCATGCCTCTTTGTAACTAAAGATACATTATAAAGTAGGGATAATAGTTGTTTTGTTTGGATGCCCGTGTATTCCCTGCCTGCTGTGTTTCTAGAGGGTGTCATGGGAAGTGATTGGTGTGGGCCTGGAGGAAGGAGTCAGTGTGTGTGTGTGTGTGTGTGTGTGTGTGTGTGTGTGTGTGTGTGCTCACGCGCGTGCGTGCACGTGTCTGTGTACATGCTCACACGCACTCGAGAGTGAGTAATGGGCAAGCTGACCTACATCTCAGCTCAAAGGAAGGAAAACTGTAGGGCTTTTGTGCTGAGCGTTTTCTCCTCCTCGGGTTTTATTTCCATGCGCATTTAGTTATGAAAGCCCGTGGAAACCAGAACACCAGGAAAACAGCTGTTCTCATGGTGTCTCTAAGCTGCCACACAAGGGAGGCTTGGACTTTCCCCAGCTCTGCTGTTCTCATACAATGCTAATCCTTCCCCTCCTCGGTTTCCACCCTGGGGGTTTGGGACATGCTCTGAGTTTCACAAGCTTACCTGATTCCAGCCCTTTGGGTATGGTTGCATGACCTTAGTAAGTGGGGAAGATGGATGCCCTGGTTCACGTTGCTCGCGATCAATTGTGTTTGTTCTTAAAAACAGAAATCTAAATTGTTGCTATTTTAAAATCCACAATCAAGATTTCAGCCTGGCCTATCAGTGGAGCTGAACTACACGTGGAATTATCTAGCTTTCTTATCTTGCCACGTGGAGCAGTGGTTTCCTGTGTGGTTCCTTGCCTGGCTGGATGTTGAACACTTAAAGAGGTGGCTGTACCTGACCCAGGGTGAATCTAAGCTACTACAGTCTTGGGAAACCTAGAGAAGGGTTCCTTCCTTCCTTTTTTCCTTCCTTCTTTTCTAACATTTATTATTTATCTGTTTGTTTATGTATGTGAACCTGCATGAGTATATGTGCCAGAAGAGGGCATCAGATTATCTGGAACTGGAGTTACAGGCGGTTGTGAGCTGCCCTACAGATGCTGGGAATCGAACGTGGGTCCCCTGCAAGAGCAGCCCGTATTCTTAACCACTGAGCCATCACTCCAACCCCAGTGCAGGGTTACTTGAAGTACAGAATCGCTTTTTACTTTAAATATACTCAGGTCAGGTTGAGTATCTTGTACATATGCTGCACATATCTGAATATGTATTTTATTAATATGTATTTTACAATCATGCATATGTAATAATATATTGGCCACTAGGACATCTATTTAACAATGCATGTATTCATTTATTTAACATGTAAACTGGTTATTGATAATATAAATCAAGGAGCAGCTGAGAGCTTGCTGTCCCCCTCGGAGTAGGTATCTTAAGCCCTGGGGAAAACAGCTTTCATAAACCCAAAAAGAAACTAGCGGAAGACAGAGGTCTCTCTGATCTGGGTCTAAAGGGTTATTCATATCTCCCCAGATTCCACAAACACTCATTTAGTGATGTCACCGAGGTCAAATACAACTTCACATAGGACTTCTGCAGCAGCCTTAGGGCTTGGTCCTGTGCCTGAAGTGCCACTAGCTCTCATAGTCATGGGTGATGTCTCATTCACTATCACCGCCAGGCTGAAACCTATCCAAGCCAAGTTCCATCCAGTTGAATTAACCCTGGGACAAGAAAATGCCTAAGGCTGAGTTGTTCGGGGTCCACAGAGTAGGCTAGTGAAGAATTGTTAGCTGGTTGGGGGTGTTGTTTTGTTTTCTCTGGGAGGTAGGTAGGATATGACAACTACCCCTTGCCCTGAATCATTCAGATTCATTTTAAATTCTTAAAATTTTTATTTTATTTATTTATTTGTTATTTGGGGAAAGGAGCTTTGGGTCCTGGAAACCCAACTCAGGTCCTCGGGTTACCTCCTGAGCCAGCTCTCTAGGCTGAGATTTTTATTTATTTCATTTTATTTTTACAATAGGTGGTAGGTAGAACGTTGGGAACCACCCTTTCCCCAGCTAACTCATTCTCAAGTTACACACTCAAGTTCTACTTCAGAAGATCGAATCTTTGAAATTTAGTCTGAAAACCTCATGATAGGATCTCTTTCCCCCAACGTTAAGCTTGATTCTTTCTGTGGGCACATGACTAGTACCTACCATACATGATTGGATTTCTAGTCGGTGACAAAACCTCACAAACTTCACAATCAAAAGTCAAAGTGTGCAAGGCACGGTGGCGTTTGCCTATTGTCTCTGCATCTGGAGGTTGAAGCAGGGGTGTTGGGAGCTTGGGGCTAGTGTGCGCTATGCAGCAACACCTTGTATCAAAAATAAGAATAAAATAATTCAGCCAGGCATTGTGGTTCATACCTATAATACCTACATTTGGGAGGCAGAGGCAGGAGAATCAGAAGGAGGTCAAGGCTAGCCTCAGGTACATAACAAGTTGAAGGCTAGCATGGGCTACAAAAGACCTTGTCTTTAAAAAACAACAAACAAAAATTGTGCATCCCATTTGACACACTTAGAGACAGATGAAGAGGGAAGAGGACTAGAAGGCCAGCTTTCCCTTTGCTGTTGAATACCACTTAGCCCATCTCTCTCTCTCTGGCTAGAGGTTAACTGAACCATGCCATCTAAGGCCATGAATGAAAGCTAGTTCATCTGTGAGATAGCAATTAGTTGAGTTTCTGGTTTATGAGTAAGAATCGCTCCAGGGTTTCCCCCAGTACATAGATCTGCAAGTGGAAACCGCCCTCCCATCAGAGACAAGGTACTTACCTTTTCTCTGTCGTCTCCCACTCTGTCTTTGTGGCCCGGACCTACCTGATCCCAGCAGCATGGTGCGTGGTCAAGAGGCGCATTCAGATGCAGCAGCTACTGTGGGCTTCCGTGTCTCGCCAGACACCTGCACCATCTCAACCAGGTATGTGTCTTCCCTGAGCCCCAGGAGTCTGAGGGTGGCTTCCGTCACTTAGATCAGCAAATTCTTCAGGGCGGGTTGTGTAATTTCGTCGGCTTTTCAGCCACGTAATGTGTCAAGTTCGGTTAACTCCACCATCACATCCAGGGAAGCAGTCACAGACAACATGTGAAGAAATGCACATGGCTGTGTGTCAATAAAACTTTACTGGTGGACTCTGGAATTTGAATGTCGTGTGATTTCACGTGAAAAAAAAAACCGTTTTTTCTTTGGCCTTTCCACTCACTCATTTTAATGCAGACAATCACCCTTCGCTGTAGCCTGAGGAAGGTAGGGCCGGAGTCTGTCAGACTGATCACACTACCTCCCCGGGGCTGCGGTTTATAGACCTTCCCTTGGAACTGTAGGCTGTTACAACGGCTCTTCAAATTCTGCAGAAAGGAGTTTCTTTTTTTTCTCTCTCTCTCTTTCTAAACTAAAAATGAGCATGCACCTTTTCATATTGGAGTATAATGAATGTCTCTCAGCTGTAAGCAAATTATCAATGCCGTAACAGGGGTAATTCTAATCTAGGAGAATTTTCTTCCGTTTCTTTTTTCCCCCTGCATTTCACCAGCCCTTCCCTTTTGAGCTACAAATATTCTTTTTAAAAAATCTTTCAAATAGACAGAGATGTAAACAAATGCTTTTGTTTTCTGTAGCCCATTTAGGAAAGTGTAATAGCTCTTAGTCACATTTAGACAAAACAGTGTTTCTGGAAGGGGCAGCAACTGTTTTGTAATCTAAGTGTGCAGAGATCTCACTTAGGAAAGCCGTTCTTAGTATGGCCCATCTTCCTAGCAGACGCCCCACCAGAAGGGAAGGGGCTAATTAGGCCGTCCGCGTTTGATGTCTTATAAAGGGTATTTAGAATGAATGCCTTTCATTATTCAGGGAAAGTGTAGCATTTTTTTTTAAAGTCCCACTCTATTTTTAAGTCGGAATCTGGGCGTACATTTTAGGACATATTTGGATCTAAATACCACAAGCCACTATATATAAAACACAATAAGGTGATGTGGCGTGTTTCAGTAAGGTGGGGCAGATACCAAGCCAGGCCACGCCTCGTGGATATGCTCATAGACTAAAACGCCATGCTTTTCTCAGAGCTGTGGGCACAAGTCTGGACACCAGCTGTTAGTATGAGGGTTTGGAGATGCGCTGGTCCCTTGATATGTGATAAGCTAGATATAGTTGAGTCACAATTCAAAGCTAAAAAAAAAACCATATAGCTAGACTGGACAGGCAAAAGCCTGGGAGCACTAACACAAACCTATTAATTAGCTAGATGGTCCTCCAGGGCTCCAGGCTGGAACCACTCTGGGCTTCATGGGATTTCTGAGTCCTTCCCTATTTCACTCTTGGTATCAGACTGCGCCCATGAGAACCTAGGACACCACTCAGGAAGGGAGAAAAACCAGTGGGGAAGAGGTAGGAGGAGCTCTGGCTTATTCCTTCCACCCTGCCCTGCCTTCCTTAAGACAGCTCCACTCGTACGTGACTTAGGTTTGGAGTCTACCATTTGCCGGGGGAGGGGAGAAGCTAGGGGTTGGAAGGGGGAGGTTGGGGGGTGTCAGGACTCTGCCACTCAGCACATTTGAAAACCACTGTCTGATTTTTTTCACATTTGTTTTCTCTACTCTGCTACCCCCAGGGCATATAGTCTCTGCCATCTAAATTTCACCCACTAAATTTAACTAAGACCTAGGGAATTGAGAATATAGTGGCGGTCGGGTGCAGTGTTCATATGAACCACGCTGGAATTACCTTTATACAGCTGCTGTGTCCTGTATAAAGATACGGAACAGATAGGCAGTGGGGTAATTGTCTTGGGCAATTAAGAGTAAGCTGACCTTGCTCCAGCTCCAAGAATGAGTCAGTGGGGCAAGCCGGGATGGCTCTCTGAGATTCTGACCTCGGGGTTTGTGCTGTAAACCACGGTCTCCACTGGCTGTTGTGGCCTCATTACACTAGGGTGACTCCTACAGGGTTGGGCAATGCCATCTGGCCTGGGAACTGCAGAGGGCAGGCGGCTGGGTAAGAAGAGCTAAAGGGGGAGGCATGGGAAAGGAAGATCGACAGGCATGCTGAGAAGAAGAGAAGGGTCTGGAAGGGTCTGGGCTAAATGACTTCCTGAAAGTGAAGTCTATGCTTAAGAAGGAAGACAGACAGTGAAGATTGACCATCATGGTGGGGGCAGTCGGGGGGACAGAGGTACAGGGGAGGAAAGCAGAACCCTGACACACTGCATGAACAACACGGATACGGCTGAAGTTAACGGAGAAAGGCCAGGCTTTCTTACAAACAGTACCAAAGGAACCCAGAGGAAAAAAGGAAACTCTATATGAAAAGACAAGTCCATCATATATCTCAGAGAAACCCTATCTCAGAAAGCCAAAATAATAATGATAATGATGATGGTGATAATTCAAAATAGAACACAGACCTAAATGTCAATCCAAACAGTGGAACTTCCAGGAGAGAAGCCTTTAGTAACCCTGGGTTTGCACAGAGCTCTTTGATATGACACAGAAATCATGAACTATCAAAAAGAGGAACAGAGCACAGATGAGCTGGTTGGGGGTTTATGCACGTCCCATCTCCAGCAACGGACACACGAGCTGTGTTGTACACCGGCCATCCCAGGCCCAGGGAGATGGATGCTCGAGGCTAACCTCAGCTACGTAGAAAGTTCCAGGCTAGTCTGAGTTACACGCGTGCGAGGACAGAGGAAGGGGGCGGGGATAATGATGGTAAAAGGGTGGTCAGCACAGCTGTCAATCTCATCTGTCAATAAACAAAGGAAACTGAGTCCAAAGGGAAGAATGGATTTAGACTGGATTGGGAAACAGCTTCCCTTTGGACTAGGTTATTGTTGGGGTGGGGAAAGTATGGGCATCTCTGTGCCTCGAAATCAGATACAAGAGGGCCAAACCCTGTTTTCTTTACTCTGATGGGAAAGAAGCAAGGGAAGCTGGAAGACGACCAAATGCTCGGAGGATAAACCCTGCTATGGCTTATCACTGCTTCCTAAAAGCCTCATCCATCTTCACTGAGACCCAGGACACAGGCAGGTAGATGTTTCTGCCTTGGTAGACACCCAGTCTAAGGCTGCGCATACTTCATTCGCAGAGTGGGGTAATAAAACACCAAGCCCCATAGTTTCTCCTTTATTTGCTTCTCTCTGCTTCAAAGATACCAAATGTGTACAACTGTAAAGCAACGGTGTCACCTCACATATTCATTACCCCAAAAATCACTGATTCATTTATGCTGTGTGCAACCATTTGCACCTGGGCATAATAGGAAGGGAACCAAGGGAATCTGAGATGTGTATGTAGCAGGAATGTAGGAAATGCATGTATGAGACATGTATACAGCAGGAATAAATTCGGAAAATGCAGACAGTCAACAAAGGACAACCTTGGTAATTGAAGTATCTATGGATATCACCAGCTAATAAAACAGTAACAAAGCTGGCTATAGGCTAGTGGCACCAACTGCCAATCAATCCTCTGTGGTGGAGGAGTATCTTCAACTTACAGGCCAGGAAACCGAGGCTTGGAGAAGGTTCATAGTCAATGTCAGAACGAGGAGTCAGTCTAAGCCCATTTGCTCGCCACAATTAAGTCTTAGCATTATGCAGCTTTTCTAGCCCCAGACCCAGTACCCCCCAACTCCCCAGGACTGTTTCCAGCAGATTTCTGATCCAGACAGGCTAGCTTATTGGCAGGGGAAGGTTTGCTAATGACAGACTTGGAGAGGACCAGAAGCCACGACCACGAATCCTATGGTTTCAGGTCAGAGAAGCCTTAGTTGGGTGGTCTGACTGCTCTCCTCTCCCTAGGCGAATCAGTGGTCCAGGCTTCTGGCCCTGGAGGCTGGTTTGTATCAGCCTGGCTGGCAAGGAAGCCTGGGCTCTCTCTGCTCCCCACCAACACCTTTGAGGGGCCCAACTGAAACCTCCCCAAGGGACCATGCTGCTAACCACTCAACTAGAAAGCCTGCTTTCTGTGTTCCTTACTGTCCTCATGAAAATGCTTTCTTACCTACATGCAGGGCATCTGTCGGTCCCCGCTCTACTGGCGGCTTTATAGCAGAGCCCTTTTAAGCACAAATTTCACCGCTGAGCCTCCAACACTCTCAAAGACACGTCTGCATTGATCTGAAGCATGCTAGATATTTTTCCTTTTACAAATCTTAGAGGAAAATTACAAAATCCTATAGGTTTTTATTCTTGCACACAAACAAAGATTAGGCTTTCTACCAGTAAGTAAAGTAGAACCTGTGGCTATTGAAATGCGTTTTTTATGAACCCCAGTAGGTACATTACTCTGTATTGTTAGACTTTATATTCTCTTATCTGTTATGACGTCTAACTATCAGGGCAATGCCTGGAAACTATTTGAGTTTGGGACCTATCTTAGCTTAGGTTTTTATTGCTGTGAAGAGACACCATGACCACAGCAGCTCTTATAAAGAAAACATTTAAATGGGTGGCTCACTTACAGTTTCAGAGGTTCAGTCTGTTATCATCATGGTGGGGAGCATGGCAGTGTCCAGGCCAATGTGGTGCTGGAGCTGGTGCCGCATCTTATGGGCAATAGGAAGACAACTGTCAGATTGGTGGTCTCCTGAGCCTAGGAAACCTCCAAGCCCACCTCCATAGTGACACACTTCCCCCAACAAGGCCATAGCCTCTCCAACAAAGTCATACTTCCTGATAGTGTCCCTCTCTTTGGAACTATGGGGAGGCAATGACATACAAACTACTACTAGATCCTAGGTTGGCAGAGTTGGGATGATATGAATTGGGAAATATTTAACCAGTATTGTTGAGGCACACTTGGGTGTTTGGTTCTAACCTATCTTTAAATTTTATTTGTTGTCATTTTAAGCATTGGCTTTCCTCTTCTGTTTTTTTTCCTTCCAGCAGAAGTGGAAAGAGCTATTGAAAGTGAGCCACAGGGTGATACCAATCCCATTTGAAAACCATCAGTTTTCTGGGAGAACCTCCCAGAAAATGTCAGCTCCTAGTTGGGTGTCACAGCTGTTTGCCTCTGTCCCCTCCTTCTGTGTGTAACTCAAGCTGGCCTCTCAACCTCAGTACCTTTCCAGGTTGAAAGAGCTGGGTTGAATAACTCCCACAGCCTGAAGCCGGGCAGTGGTGGCGCACACCTTTAATCCCAGCCCTCGGGAGGCAGAGGCAGATGTTCGATGCCAGCCTGTTCTACAAAGCAAGTTTCAGCACAGTCTGAGCTGTTACACAGAGAAACCCTGTCTCAAAAAGCAATAATAATAATAATAATAATAATAATAATAATAATACTTCCATATAGAGCCTTCTGCTCTTGGCGAACTATCTAGTTCAGAGGAGAGGCATGCAGATACAAGCCCACTCTGCCATGTGCCTGTAAACTGGGATTAAAATCTTGTAGTCAGAGTTTTCCTGTTCTGACTGCTTGCTCTCAAATAACCAGCAGTCATTTCCCAAATTACCACACAATGGATCTTCACCATCTACCCCACAACAATGCTTCTTTTCTCTTCTCTCTCTTTCTCTCTCTCTCTCTCTCTCTTCCTTCTTTCTCTTTCTTCCTTCCTTCCTTTTCCTTTTTTTCTTTTTTCTTTTTCTTTTTGGCTTTTCAAGACAGGGTTTAATCTGTGTAACAGCCCTGGTTGTCCTGGAACTCTCTTTATACAACAGACTGGCCTCGAATGTGCAGAGCTCCACCTGCCTGGATGGATCTGACTCCTGAATGCTGGAATTAAAGGCGTGCGCCACCACACTTGGTCCCAAATGCTTCTTAATCTATGGCAAGGCCTGACCCTGGAATCACAAAGATCATTGTGTTGGCCATTTGGAATCTTGGGTAACGGCTCTCAAGCATACTCGAGAACAAAGCAGAGCCATCTCTCTGGGTCCACCTAGAGGGATTCTGTCGGGAGTGCCGCTGGGCTGGAGGAAACAGCATGTATGACGTACAGTGGGACTCAGGACAGACACTGGTCATCATGGGGAGCCTTAGAAGTGGGCAAGTACTATGGTGCCCAGCACGGTTCCTGCCCCCATTCCCTGTAGGTGATGACGCAGGAAGACAGGCATGTGTCCCTGAAGAGGGGGCAGGGTATATTACCTTGAAGTACCTTGAAGCAGACTGTCATGCATGTAGCCTCCTTTACTTTAGCATCTTTCTGGATGCAGGCTAAGTCAGTACAAAGATGTTTGCCTCCTGGCATTTGTATGGAAGCACTGGCAGGCAGCTCTGTCTCTCTGAGCAACAAACATACTCGTCAGAAAGATTCAGATGGTTCCACTCATTTGAGTGCAGAGAGGAGCTTGCTGCTTCATGGGAAAAGGCTCGTCTCCCCTCCCTCCTCCTAGCCACTACCCTCACCTGCCTGGCTACCAGTGATTTTTATTAGTGAACATAAAGTCAGTCTGTCTTCCAAAGTTCTATAGTCAGCTTGACTTTGAAAGATCTCAAAGCCTCCTGTCCCCAGGTCCTTGCCGTTAGCTCTGCCTCCAATGCCTGTCTGTCTCTCCATCCACGGACAGTAGCAGTACTCGATGACTTTTCCATGTCCAGTTTTGGCTCATCAGAAGCCATGAGTGGCAGATCATGACACTTCTTTTCCTCCTTCCCAGAGCAGGGGAAGGAGGCAATGAACTGTGGGAAATTCCTCTAGCAAGATTCTGAGAAGGATGGAAAGAGGGCGAAGAGAAAGTTCTTTTTAGTCCCCAATGTGGCCCTAACAGTAACTCTGCTCATAGAGCATCAGGGCTGTCTCTTTCTATGGCAGAGGTGTCTCGGCCTCCTCCTTCCCCTGCTTGCTGGCTCGGAGCTATCCCTGGGCAGCCAGCTGTTGCGGGAGCTCTAGAGAGGTGCCTCCTGCTTGTGTGTTTTAGAGGGAAGTGCACATGTGTGACCATATTGACCATTTGCAGGCAGGCTTGTATATGGACAGTGATAATCCCCCCCATTCCCCCACCCCCGCTCCCAGCTGTCTCAGAGCAAATGCTATTACCCCTGCTTTAGATAGAGAGGAATTAAGCCTCCTCTTTGTCAGTGGCCCCAGGCTGTCTGGAAGAAAACTAGCTGAATCCCTGTGCTTCCTGGTGTGCAGCTTGGAGCTGCTGCTGGGTCAGAGGGGCTTTGTGTGCCTGCCCCAGGCTCGGCTCACACCTGCTCTGAGCAGGCTCCAAGTGTCCAAGCTTAAGAGGGCGAGGCCCTAGGGCGCTCTTCTCTAAGTGGACCTTGGTACACCCTCAGGGAGCAGCTGCCATCTTCCACATGACTCTGAGGTTCTTCCCGATTTGAGATTCTATTTTAAGGGGAAAATAATTGGGGTTTATTAAATGAAGGATTGCATCACCAACAGGAAGGGAGGGGAATGATACCGGGTACTGGGGCAAGCAGGCACCTGTGCTGGGAGGTGATTGTATTCAGCACAAATGGCTTTGACTTCCTCCCCAGTGTGTTATCCCCAGAAACGAGTATGCCTGTGTTGGGTGCTTACAGATGCCGTGCTGGACACTCTTGCTTCACCGGCATTAACTAGAGTCGGCCTCTCCCTCTGCCCTTGCAAGGTGCACTGTTATTTTCTTCCAAACAGACATAACACTTAGACTCTAAGACGGACGTTAACACAGAAGGGAAGTGAGAGTTGCCTCCTGAGGTTCAGAAGACACACTAGGCCTCTCTTCCTCCTTATCTAAGTTCAAAACAGTTGAGAGACACAAGAGTCAAGCCTGAAAATATCACCTTGAGCACCAAATCAGCTGGCTGGAAAACGCATCCCATGAACAGCCTGCCAATAGTTCACCCTAAGTCAAAGGGACCTAGCCACCCTCCTGCAGGCCTTACCCAGAGTGGGGGCTGGAGCTGAGGGACTACAGCTTCTGCGACAGCCGGACCCCCTCCCCAAGAGTCCGGAGGGGGCTGAGTCAGCCTGCGCTCTGCTCCCCACACCACACACACTAGTCCTGAAGTCTGCCTCTTCCCCACAGAGAAATGAGCTACATTCTCCCAAGGGACATTCTTGGTCATTAAACAACAAAATCAGGAGAGTCTGGGTGACCTTGACTCCATACTTGGGTTATCACCAGGCCTGGAGCATTTCTTTCGCAGGCGAGGTCCTCAGAACCTCAGCCCTTCAGACTTGAGGAGAAACCTTCCCTTTATTACAGCAAAACCTGTAGGCCGGAGAACTTGCTGCCTCATCCAAAGCTCCGTGGTGAACCGAGGTCTTTCAGCCCTCATCTCTATCTTGTGTCTTCTGCCTTCCACTCTTCACTAAGAAGTTGAGGACAGGCAAGTGTGTCCCCTTATACACTGTAGTCAAAGAAGAACTATATACAGCTTGTACCCTTCACAGGGGCAACATGGAAGACAGACTGCTCCGAGGGCAGAAGGTGAAGGGATGTTTGGGTCCTTGGAGGACCTGGATTTCCTGGTAATGATGGGACCATACTCTCAACTTCCTGCTCCAAGCTTCTCCTGTCTTCCTTCTTCCCTTCTTCTAAAAGACAGTTGCCCCTGTCCACCAGTGTTCTCTCTTCCTCATTCCTTACCTCTTTCAGGACTTGCGCCATATTTCCATTTGCCCAGGACTGGGCTAGAGTAAGGAGAATTTGGTTGGAGGTAGATAGAGCTGGACCTGAGTACTGTGGGGCCTGGAATGGTTTCCTTCACCCCATTAGCCTCTGTTTCCTCAAATATAAAGCAAAAGTCTCAATGACTCCTTCGTGGACACAAGGGAGGACTAAGGGAGCTAACACACAGCTAAGTGTGTCTTCTGTCTTTTCCTTATGTGGTCTATACATGTTATTTGCTACAATGGAGGGAGGTATCTTCTGATGTCTAGTGGGCTAGGGCTCTGAGGACCTAGCCTGTGGAAGGAAGGCCCGCAGAGGACTAGTAAAAATCTAAGTTTGAATCCTGGAGTCAGGGTCACCTGAATTCTCCTGGTTTTGTTGTTCAATAGGGGAGGGGGAGGATTTAGTAACTTTCACTTCTCAATTCACTAAATACTGGAAGTCTGTGTGCTGGAAAAGTTGATGTTAAAGTGTCGGTTTCCCAAGGTTTTGACTGATAATTAAAGCTCTTTTGCAAAGCTCTTAGTTCTGTGGCTGGCATGTAGAGATAAAACAGAAGACATTAGCATTCCCTCACCAACCCATCGCTGGGCGTGGGAGTGCCTGGTTGTATCCTGTAGCACTCTGAAGACTGCAGAGTTCACGGGGTTATTCATCGAATCTTCTCTGTTGGGGGGGAATCAGTATTCGTGGAGGGTTTCTCCTACAGTGGTCTTCCCTTCCTTGACCCCAGCCACCACCGTATCTGGTGGTAGATAGGAAGTAGAGCTATTCAGAATACCACTTTCGCTTCTCACATTCCAAAGCAGCCTGATGTTTCCCCCAAGTCCAGGGTCCAGCACTTACATCTAAACCTGAGATCAGGACACAGATCTGTGACTGTGGCTGGAGATGGAGAAATCAGGTGATTCAGCCCCCCAGTTCTAGGTGGCAGGTTTGTCTGTCCC